TAAGAGAAAGGTAATTTATTAAATGGTAGAGTCACTATCGCTATGTCACTAGAAGGGCTGAAAAAAGCAGATGCAAAGATAATATCACCCAAAATAACCTTGCAGAAGCAGTTTAAAGGGGAAATTGCTATCCCTGCCATTACCAAGCACTAAATACAAAGTCCAAATCCATTACAAACAATCTTTACTATGGCTAGCACCAACTTAATCTTGAAACTATTAGCTACATTTTAAGCTGACTAGCTCTACTCCATTCCTGACTGCAAAATGAAAGTTGTGAATAGAACCTCCATTTCCTTATATTTTGTATTTTCAAATACAAGGCATCTGTGGGTGTGTCTGACCAGTGGCTCTGAGGTAACACGCTTGCATCCACCTATACACATGAGAATCTGGAAATTTTTTTGAGTTTTGAAAAGTATGTACATAATATGGGTATTTCTGCAAATTTAGAAAGCTTCTCAAAAATTGGGAGGCTGCAAATGTGACAAATGTACACTATAAGAGATTAAGACTAACATTTAACATACAAAATATACACTTAATTTATAAATACCCAAATACTGGGGGATTACGACCAAAACTTACCTTTTATTGATGAGATTTTTTTAAGCATTTAATAATTAATCAAAATAATTAACTAGATGATTTTCAGCAGCATACTATCTACAAATCTGATGTGTCCCTTGATACTGGTGCCAAGAATAATTAAAGTATGTAGTGTATGGCACATAAACAAGCAGTATTCCTGGGCATATTTATTTTTTCACCAGCCTAGTTAGTAGTATACACTTTTCTAAAAGCCAATGTACACAAAGAAACGTATACAAGGATGTGTTATTGCAGTACTGATCCCATAAGTGGAAGACTGAAAACAACCCAAAGTCCATCTATAGGCAAACAGTTCAATAAAATTTAGTATATTTTATAACACATATTATAAAAATTAAAGAAAAAACATAGGCCTATATACTAACTAGTACACTAATATGAAAAGTGCTCAAATGTATTAACAATAGAAACAAAGATAATTTATCAAACAGGGAAAATGTACAAAAAGACAAGAAGGGATAGTTAATTACAAAGTGTCATTTTTACTGTTAAACTACTTTGTCATTTTGACACACACACACACACACAGAAACAGTTTACTACTGTTTTCCACATAACTTTTCTAAAAGCTGGCAATGTTATACGCATGGGATAAAATAACATTAGACCATTGTCAATTGAGATGGAGTAACCATTTCATCTCTTCTGCATGCATGGTCTAGACAGATGTAAAAAAATAAAAATTAAAAATAAATAAAATAAAAAAATAAATAAAAGCTGGCAATGTTTACCGAAAGCCTTAAAAATAGCTCTGGCTGGTGTGACTCAGTTGATTGGTCATCGTCCCGTGCACTTAATAAATCATTGCTGGTTCAAATCCCTGGTTCAATTCCTGGGGCACAGGCCGGGTTGCAGGCTCAATTGCCAGTGAGGGTTGTGTAGGAGGCAGGCGATTGACATTCCACTCCCACACCGATATTTCTCTCTCCCTCTCCCTTCCTCTCTAAAAAAAAATCAATAAAAGTATTGGGTGGGGGAGGAGCCTTAAAAATATACATTTCTGATCTAGAATTCTACTTGTCAGAAATTCTGCTCAGAAGAGATGTGCAAAAGCATATAATTACAAAAATACCCAACACATTAACTTTATAATACTGAAAAATTAGAAACATCCAACTGCTATCATCTGAATGTTTGCATACCCCCTCCCAATTCATATGTTAAAATCCTAATGCCCAATGTGATGGTATTGAGACATGGGGCCTTTGGGAGGTGCTCTTCTAAAAGAAACCCACAGGGCTTCCCTGGCCAGAGAAAAGGCACTCACCAGCTATGAACCAGAAAGCCCTCGCCAAACACCTAATCTGCTGGCACTATGATCCCGGACTTCCCTGAAATAAATTTATTTTGTTTATAAACTACCTAGAGTGTGATTCTATTATAGTCTAAATTGACTAAGATACCAACTACAGAGGAGTTGTTCAATAACTGTAGCACAGCCATTTATAGAATATTCCAAAGCCTTAAAACCAGACTGTATATAAAACTGGTAAAATCTGAGTAAGTTCTGTAGACTGCACCAATGTCAATTTGCAAGTTTTTACATCATATTATAGTTATTCAAGGTGTTACTACTGGGAGAAAGCAGGCAAAATGTGCATAGGACACCTGTATATTTGGGGCAACGTCTTGAAAATTTATAGTTATTTCAAAATAGTTTTTATTATTGGAAAGACAATGAAATGTTCACAGAAACTTGGGGGGGGGATGTAAAGCAAATTGCTATTTTATAAAAATGATTTAATTTTGTGAAATAATGCACAAGCATAGAAAAGATTGAGAGTGACTAAAAATTAGTGTTTTCAATAGTTACCTCTGAGCAGCAGTGTTTTTATTTTCATTTTTGTGCTTTTCTGTTTTTTCCTAAAATTAACATCTCTTACTTTTACAATCAGAAAATATATAATGAAACATTTAAGGTACAAATAAAAGACACATCAACAGAATATCCCAGAGCCTTAAAACCAGAATGATGTAAAATCGTTCCTGGCAAGTGACATAAAGAACTATTGTCTTCAAAGAAACTTAAAGAACTTACAAATTGCTAAGAAAAGCACAAACAAGCAAAATGACAATTCACAGCAGAACAGTACCCAAAAAACTAATACACCCGGATAAATGCTCAATCACACTGGTCACTGAAGAAACACAAAATGCCCTCGGTGGTTTGGCTTAGTAGATAGAACTTCGGCATGTAGACTGAAGGGTCCCGGGTCTAATTCCAGTCAAGAGCACATGGTGGGGTTGCTGGATCCCCAGTAGGGGGCGAGAAAGAGGCAGCTGGTTAATGATTCCCTCTCATCATTGATGTTTCTATCTCTTTCTCCCTCTCCCTTCCTCTATGAAATCAGTTAGAAAAAAATTTTTAAAAAGCAAATATTAAAAAAAACAACACAAAGTAAATCAATTATTTCATTTTAACCTATACAGTGAATTTGTAAATATAAGAATGCCTGGTGTGGACAAAAATACAATAAATTGGGCAATAGTAAAAACAGTCTTAACACTTTTGGAAAGCAATTTGACAATACTGATATAAAAAACTTAAAAAATGTCCACTCTTTAACTTAATGCGGTGAATTTTAGCTTAAGGGCTTTATACACAAGAGTGTTCTTTAAACCCTGACTGGTTTGGCTCACTGGGTAGAGCATCAGCCTGCAGACTGAAGAGTGTTCTTTATAGAATTACTCAACATAAGGAAAAACTGAAAACTAAAAATGTCCATCAAAATAAGTTGGTATTTTTCTGCCCAGCTGGCATGCTCAGTGGTTCAGCACTGACCTATGAACCAGGGGTTGACACATAATTAGATTCCCCTTCAGGGCACGTGCCCGGGTTGCGGGCTCGATCCCCACTGGGGGATGTGCAGAAGGCAGCCAATCAATGATTCTCTCTCAGCACTGATGTTTCTAATTCTCTCTCCCTTCCTAGGTG